TCAGCTTGTTCAATATTTAAAGTTATTTAATTCCTTTCTAAATATCAGACGAGAAATATTTTTTTATAAATAAAATGTGAATAACATATTAGTATGTGAAAAGAAGGATACCTCAAAAAATAAATTTCAAAGAGATTGATACCGGGGAAGAAAGTGTCCAAAAGAGGGAATATGAGAAAGATAGTCGTAGTATTTTATTATGCATCGGACAAAAAGTTGTCTTACACTTTATGGTTTTTCTACATGATTCAACACTAAAAAATTATATTGAAATCCCTCTTAATTGAGAATTAACTCATCAAATTGTAACTTTTATATATTGCAAAATTTATCTCGTACATCTAGGGGGTGTATTAGTTTAGGATTTTGTACGATTTTAAAAGACTTTTTTTGAGTAAAAAAATCCATTGGTATTCAATCAGTATTTTATGTCACTTAAAAACAATTCAGTGGTATTCAATCTGGATTTTCAAGATTTTTTAAAGAGTCCATTAAAATTTACTGGTATTCATTTGAGATTTTTTACAACTTAAAAATAATCTATTAGTATTCAAAAATACAAGGATTTTAAAGGATTGTTGTGTGAGAGAGATTTTGAAGGACTTTTTAGTGTTATCTATAAATACCATATTCATAAAACAATCTCATCCAAACCCATCGGATTTTGAAGGATTGTTTGAAGTGATTTTTCAAGTGTTTCAAGAATTTTCAAGTGAGTTTTTCATCTTTTTTTTTTCTATGCTCATGTCTTCTCCATTTTTTCTCTACTAATAATACTACACTATTGTTCATTGCTCATATATAATATTGTAGTACTGTTCTCATCCCATTCCCCTATTTTGTGAAACTCTGATATGTAAATGATAGTGTCATTGACTTGCTCTATTTTTCTGTTCGTTCTCTTTAATTGACTTGCTTTATTTTATTCTATGTAGTTGAATTTGTTCCTTTATATAACAAAAAAATGCTTGAAATTTTAACTTTTGAGTTGTAATTTTTTTATAATACACGTCAATAAAAAAAAAGGTGAAAGATGAAATTGATATCATAATCTCTACAATATATATATATATATAAGATGAATTTGTTAGGGTTTCTGTGAGTAGAATGAGATGAAAATGAATCTTAATTGGGGGAAGAACCCTCTCAGCATAAAAACTACGAACTCTCTTCTTCCCTTGAATTTGTTACTCTTATCTCTCCTCCTTTTATGACTCAACAATTATTTTATTTTTTTTACTATGAATTTTTCTTTTTATTTTATATTGTGAAATTAAGATTTTTTTATATTTTAAAAAAAGAAAATTAACATAAGACATTAAAGTATCTAATTTTCTAGGGTTTAGGATTTATGCCTTCATTAGTTTATTTTTTAAAAAAGGAAATATTGTTAAAACATTTGTTAGAATAATTTACATTTATAAATATCTGTTTATATAAAAAAATTATATATCTAAATATTTTCTCAGTATCGAATATACTGATTTTTTTATATAAAAAATTATCTTATATTTTTATATTTCCATTTTTACATGTTTTTTTTATAATGACTGAGGTATTTGATCCATTTGGATAGCCAAAATATATTCGATCTTGTATGATTGATGTGCTTCTAAAAATAATTATAATTTTATTGATTTTATCTCTTATTCATAATTATTTATATAACTAGTTTTCAACATATATTATTTTAGTAATTCAAATGGGAGATTCACAAGGAAATAATAAAGAAAAAGGAAAAGAGATAGAAAACTATGAAACTTGGACCAAGGAGGATTCCGATGAATTGTTACAATTGATAGTGGATGCTATAAAAAGAGGATAAGATATTATGGAGAATTATTATTATTATTTATCTAGTCATTATTATTATTATTTTTTATTTTTGTCTTTGACTCTTTTTAAATTTGAATGTACGAATTTTTTTTTAAATCTTATCAAATGTTAAAACTCCACAAAATCTCATAAAATTCATTAAAATTCTAAAAAGTCATGAAAATCCTGCAAAGTCTTTTAAAATCTGCAGGATTTTTTTTAACTAAAAAAGTCTTTTAAAATCTTAATCCAATACACCCCCTTATTGATTAATATGGTGAAATCGCATGTTATAATATTATTTTTTTCAGCCGTGGATCAAATTATTTTTAATTGCAAGTGTCGTTTCTTTATTGTATATAGTTTTAAGTAATGATTTTCTAATGAAAATAATTTTGCAATTATTTTAAAAATCCATTCATTCCTTTTCCATCATGTTATGTACAACATGACACATTCCATCTCATATCAAGAACATTAATGTGATTTGATAAATTATAAATGAGATAATTCTGCTAATCACTATCTTAAAAGAAAGTATTATAAACATCTAATTAGATAATAAGGGTCCACACTACTTAAATTTATTTACACTCTCTAATTAGACTAATTTTTAATGCATGAAATTGTCATCTACAAATAAAACATAGTAACATATACATCCAACCAATCAAGTGAATTATCCTCTTTATTATATAAGCTAAAATCTTCATCAGTTAATCCACAACAAACCATCTTAATCCTTTGAAAAGGAAAAAGGTAATATTTGGGGTCCATAAAATCTCATAAACATGTATAAATAAGAGTCATCCAGATCCAGATATTGTTGATAAGGCTAAGTTCAAGTTACCGACTAAATTCACATGTAAATATTAATGCAAGAACTATAAAACTTCTCTTCAAAGATGGAATAAGTTTTTAATGGTATCAAAAAATTATCTCTACTACTTCATAATTGAATAAATGGATCACCTATAAAGCTACTAAACATTATGGTTTAAACCAAGGACGGAGCCAAGGGGGGACCTACGGGTGCCACGGCCCCCCCAACAATTTTAATTTTTTTTTATATACATATATATTACTATATGGCACCCCCTATTTTTAATATAAACTCATATGTATAATTAAATGAATAACCCAAATTTATTTTTTTATTCAACTTTTGGACTTCTGGTACGGCCTGCTATGTGGTATCACTTTGGAATTTTTTTTTTTTAAAAAAAATGTAGCGCCTCATTTGATCATTCCAATTCTCGGCCCCCCAGTATTGAAATCCTGGTTCCGTCCCTGGTTTAATCGGTTACTTTAATCGAAATTATATATGGTTCATAAGTTTTGATGCATCATCATGTCATCACCATGTTATATATAAAACCATAATGCAAATACCATACCAGGAACTATTTTTTTGTGAACTTTACATGATTTCTTTAACAACAAAAACTAAAAGCAATTTTAACATCATGCTTGCATTTTCCATTCACTAAAAACAATCAACATATTACAAATGCGCATAAGCATTATCTTGTAAATCTTAAAAAAGATTTATAAAAGCATTATTATGTATATGAGTAGCTATTTTTTTTATATATATATATATTTTTATCATACTTTACTAATAACACATGATATGAGAAAAAGCCTTTGCTACAAAAGTAGACTTGTAAATTTCATGGGAAAAGTTAAACTTTGTCGCCAAGCCCATTATTATTATTATTGCACTTCATATATAATATTTGACAAACTCATTCCTTCTACCAACTTATTAATTATGAAATGAGAACAATGCAAGTATAGACAATCAAAGATATTCATCAATTATCAATTTTTAAATACTCGTTCTTGGCTTCGTGTGCAAGACTTTCAATTTCATTTTTTTATACAAATAAAGTTAATCAAAAAATAAAGACAATCAATGATCGCAAATTAATAAAATCACGATAATTTATACAAATTTAATTTGTAGTGAAAATTCCTAATCGCTAATTTCATAATTAAGGATCATGCAAATGAGAAAAAAAAAAAAAGAAATCAAATTCAAGGGAAGCATTCAATAAATGATATCGTTTAAGGGAATACTTCTGAAATAGAATGCAACAAATTTTAGAACTTCCAGAGTCAATTTCTTAAGAAGGAATAAACAAAAGGCTTGTGCAGAAGAAGTAAGTTTATGCTTTTCTCTAAAAATTAAGAATCCTGGTCTACATTATATAATTAAACTTAGTTTGGACTCGTGGGAAGTTTCCAAATGTAAATTTGCACAATTAGGTTTCTTTTTAAATTTTAATGTATGAATGTAGAGCTTTGTTAAATTTATACTTATTTATGGAAAAGTTTGTCTCCGACCCGAACGTGAGAAACCAAAATCACAAAAAATTTCTTCTTCTGTCAAGTCATGAAAGCACCGGAAGCCCAACACATTTCATTGCTGGCTTCTCTCACGAAATGGGCTGGAAGCCCATTAAGACAGCACATGTAAAGTTGTTATCAACATGCAAGTCTAGTATAACTAATTCACATTTGAATTTTTAAAACACAATATCAAATTCAATAAATAAATTACATTTACATTTTCTAATTTTTTTAAAAACGGTATACACATGTCTTTTCTCTCTTTTATTCATATATATTAACAAATAAACATTTTAATCGTTAAAAACACATTGCATTAAGTAAGGTCTCGAATTCAACACTTATGTATGAAAAATATTTGGATGGAAAGAAAAACCCTCACTAAAAATGGTCAGTCAGATTCTTTAATGAAAATTAGTTATTAACAAAGTATATTTTATAGTAATATAATAATTGAAAATTCATTATATTAAATTATATATATATATATATATATATTTTTATAAGAGATTACTATAAATATTAAAAAATTATAATAAGATTTGTTTCAATAATTTCTTTTAAAAATAAGAAGTCAAAATAGTTTTTTCATAAACTAAAACTAACTAATGTATAAATTAAAAATAAATTTAAACAAAATAAATATTTTTTTACAAATTAATTTATGATATAAACTAATTTTAATTTATAAAAAAATTATTTAATTTTTATTTATATTTATTATCCACAAAATAAAAAATTTATTCGACCATATTCTTAATATAATTTACTCAATTCAATTTTAATCTTATCCACCCCCTTAATTAAAAAAAAAATGTAAAAGTTTTAGATAGCATTTGTGGCGAAGATGGAGGAGAGGTTTTGAGGCGTAGGATAGTTGAAAATGGAGAAACATGTTTCCCTATCCAATGACTGTGCGTCATTTCATGTTTCCCTCTCTTAACCTCTTTTCCTTCTTTCTCCCTTCGGACATTGATAAGTTTCAACGCAGCAGCAACAAACGTTCAAATTCCTCAAAAGGTGGGGAAGCATTAATGTGGTAACCTCAATTTTACATTTGACTCTCTTGTTATGTGAAAAATATTACCTTTCACGGTTCAATTTGTGTCTTGCCTGGAAATTGGCTCTCTAGTGTTACAAATTCATGTCTGCTTTGGATTCACGTTTCTCTGTTAAACTTGGTGTGTTGGATTGTGTATGATTACATGTTAAGATTAAAAGTTGGTTCACTGGGCATTGTTTGCACAAATTGCTGTTATGAGGAGGTTTGTGTTGGATACCCATTTACACACACATGTCTCTATATTCATGTTGTCTACTTTTGAACTAAACTCTCCTGATTTTGTCTTTGTTCAACTCTCAAAAGTTCTGATATTAATGGAGACTATGTGTTCATTATATACCTTTGTTTTTTCTCATGATTAGCTACAAGTGTTAGTACAAGTTTTCAGCTAATTATCCTTGCTCTGGGTCGGGTAAAGAAAATAGAAAAAAAAAAAAACTTTTCATAAGTTAAAGCTAAAATTATAATTAACTTATACAACTAATTTGTATGAACTTTCTCGTGTTAACTTTTTTAAATTATGCATAAATTGATTTTAATTTAAGAAAAAATTATTTATTTATTTTTTCTAGAAATAATTATGGAGGAATTCTTCTGAACTCGCTCTGAGTGAATAAAAAATGATTTCACATTGCATGCTAGAAAAATTACGAATAACTTCACGACTCATAAAGGTGAAATGGTATACATCTCTAGCATGATTGATGAGACTATTGCTACCTTGTGTACTTAGCGGATGTAGGTCTGCATTGTGGAAATTTTCCAAAGGAAGATGGCGATTATCCTTGCGGCAAATATGTGTTCCATTGCAAGTTCCAAAACTGTTGAAGGGATCAAAAGATTTGATATTGAAGGTATGTCCTTAAAATTTATACTTTTTCCTTCCTCTTCTCGATTCTCGTATTCGTTGTATGAAAAATTATTGTGCAACTTCTTTGTTGCTTCAGTATAGTTGCTGTTTCTATACTATTGTTCTTCCTTGAGGTTCCTATATATCACCATTTGTCATGCTAAGGGTATTACATGATTCTTGTGAATTGTTAATTTCTGATTGATTATTTGAGGTGATGTCTTATTCTGGTCAAGAAGGAAAATAAAGTAGAATCAATAACAATATTATTTATGAGCTTGTTTAGATAAATTTCTCTGAACACACTTATAAGTAATGAAAATATAAAGGAAGAAAAAAATATGTTTCTCCATAAGTTAAAATTAACCTTTTCTTAAATTAATTTGTAGAAGTTCTTTCATATTAATTCCTTCAAAAACATGTTTCTAACTAACACAAGCTAATTTTAGTTTACGTAAAAACATTTCATTTTTTTTCTAATTCTATTAGTACTTTTGAAGAAGTCTATATAAATGGGTCTTATATTTAGTCAGAAAGCAGACAACAACATGATACACTAAGTAACAGTAGGTCATTCATTTATTGACAACTTCTGCAATATAACAGATAAACTGCAATCCAGGTCCAACATTGCACTGCCTCCTCTGGAAGCTTCATCAAGTCGAAGGCATCTTCTAGTGAGTATTGGCCCTTCATTGGTTACCTTGACATGTGGTGGTTTATCGCCATTAATGGTATGGGCTGAAGAGAAGTCTTCTGACAAAGAGGAAGAAGAAGACAAAGGGGTCATTGGGGCAATTAAATCGTTATTTGATCCCAATGAGAAGACAAAGTCTGGAAAGGTGTTGCCAAAAGCTTACCTAAAGTCAGCAAGAGAAGTGGTGAAAACACTGCGCGAATCTTTAAATGAAGCCACTGATAATAATGCCAAGTTTAGACGCACTGCAGATTCAGCAAAGGAGTCAATTCGGGAGTATTTGGGCAGTTGGAGGGGAAATCAGACTGTTGCTCAAGAAGTATGTACTTTCTAACTGAAACTCTTTTAAGCAATGAAATTTCAATGCCTTGACTAGTAATATGAGAGCATGTTGTTATAGTCCGCCCTAGCGGGTCAGTGCTCTTAGGACATTAATTAAGGAATCCATAACTAGAAAGTTTTTATTGAAATCTACTTTAAAGTTACATGGTAGAGTGATATTGTGTTGGGAAATCAATCTAAAATTTTCAATGATGAACGAAGTTCCATGAATGGAGAGTCATGAACGAAGAGTCATGCATGAAAGACCCTGTCATCCCTTATAAATAAAAATACTCGTGATAAAAGTAGTTACCACTGAGAACAGATCACCACTCAAAGGGTTCACCACCGAGAAGGGGTCACCACCTTGAAAGAGTTGTTGGTTCCAATCCATTTGAGTCCTCTTTGAGAGAAAGAGAGAGGTAGAGTGAGAAAGTTCTTGTATTCCTTTTTGAGAGAAAGAGAGGGTTGTTTCCACCATACTTGATGAAAATTGAGAGATAGCTATCCGAGAGGAGTGAAATTCTTTGGGTGATCGTCTTGAAAAAGAGAGACTAGTTGTAATCCTACTTTCATAGATTAGTGAAGATCATTTTACTGGACTAAGTTCTGTGGTTTTTCCTTACATTGAAAAGGTTTTCCATACAAAAAATTCTGGTGTTATTGTTCTACTCTTTATTCTTATTTTTGCTTCTGCATAGTGCCTATTTTGCGTTCATAGCAGTGAGAACTACATCTGTCAATTCCCAACATATTACACTTTTCAATAAAAGCTTTTTACTTCCAATTTCTGAATCAGTGCCCATAAGACTTTGGTTAACATTTTCCTTTAAATATATTTGTGATCATGTTTTGGAGTGATTCCTTGCAGGAATCATATGTTATTTTGGAGAAAGTAATCAGATCTTTGGCAAATTTTTACGCAAAGGCAGGGCCATCAGCTCCACTGTCACAGGAAGTTAAGTCTGAAATATTGGATTATCTAAATACAGCTGAAGAATTTTTATAGAACAAGTTCCAACAAGTGTTGTAGAACAACAGGTTCAAACTCCCTGGATGCTAGATGGCATGTGATTAAGTAAATTTATTCTTCATTTTAATTAAATTTTATACCAAAAAAATGATCAAATTTCTTTTCTTATCTATTTTCATGTGAATTTTTCTTGCTTATTTTGGTTAATGAATACCTCCCCTTCATTTCTCCCCAAACCAAAACCAGAGAGAACTGTGGGAAAATTGAGTCCCTTGTACTTCATGTATTCTTTATCTCAATTTCTATCCCTAGAAAAAGAACAAGATACATTCTTATCCGTTTTACATTCTTTTTACAACGGTCCCAACTCTTTTCCATCTTTCCATCTATTTCCCCAAAACTAGTATTATTCCATTTATGAATATAAGCACAAAATAAAATTGATTCACGCAAAATAAGTTACTTTACATAATTTATTCTTGCTAATTCAATATAAAAAAGTAACTTATTTTCTTAAATTACTTTTCCTTGAAAAGGGATATAAATAAATCGTATTGGATGAAGTTTGTGTATTTTTTTGAAATCCAACTACATCTAATCTGATTACAAATGAATTAGATTGAATTATGTTAATTGGGTTAATATAATTAAATTTATTTATTATTTTTGTAAAAAATTAAATATTTTAGAATAGATATAACTTATTTGATATCTGTTGATAATGTAATATCATCAATCTATAAGTAGAGTTTTATTATATTTTTATTTTATAAAAATTTAAATAAAATGGTATATAAGAAAAGTAAAAGAAAATAAGTACGATACAAATTTTAATACAAATAGGTTTCTCACTTTCTTTACATAAGATGGATAAAAAAGAACTTGTAATACAAATGAGCTAAAAATTTATAAATTCAATAATTACATGTAAGTAACATTTATTAAAAAAGGGTACTAGTTAATAAATTAAACTCTTTTATTAAAGGACTCTGTTTTGGCGAACCAAATTTTAAACTAGTTAAATAAGTTAAATAAGTTTGAAAATCTTATGTATCATGTCAAACAACACACCCTTGAAGCGAGAAGAGATTTCCACCCTCACTGTGTTTGATAACATCGAAAGGAATAGATGAGCAATATAGTGAAAATAAAAGTTATTTTTAGAAGAAAAAAAGGTTAGATTAAAAACTAAATAATTTATTTGTATTATTAATAAAAGTGATACGCTATTTTCACATATATATATATATATTATTGAATATATTACTATATATATATATATATTATTGAATATATTACTTTTTTTTGGCTTTCAAAACATTTGTTCTTTTCCTCATTTTTATTTTACTTTTTATTTTTTTTATAAATCTAATTTTCAAATTTCTCACACTTATTAAATAATTACTCAAAACTATTTACACTCTCTAATTCTTAATCACCCACGCATGTTTAACTTCAATTTACATTTATCATTTATTTTATTTTTAAAATATATAAGAGGCACAAAATCATTTTTTTTATACTAGTTAGAATAAATGAATAAAGAAAATATATAATTGATTTATACTTATGCCTTTTTTTTTATAGAAAAGTAAGAAAAGGAACAAAAAAACAAAAGATAAAATTACACCCCTAGGAACATAGTCTTGGATTCATTCGCCTTCAAAAGGGCACCCGTGCTTCTTGTAACACTGTGTGCTTCTTGTATTGAGTGTGTTTGGCTATTCATCTCTATTTCATACTATGAGCTAAAGTGAGAAATTTTCTCACTCTCCTTATTTCATGTTATCGTTGTTATGAATGTTGATGCAGGTGAGACTCATTAAGATATTGATGATGCTGGTGATAAGACTTATTATTTGTCTTAGGAGTGCTCTGATAGGACATGTGACATTGAGTTTAGGCTAGGAATATTCTTTATTAATTCCTATGCTAGGATTTATGTTTACTATTATATTTTTGCTTTAGTATTTTGTTTTGTTTAAGAGATTTTTATGTGAGACTCTTTACCTCATGATGGAGATTTCATTTTGAATATTTAGCATGGATTTGGAGACTTTTATATCCTCTATAATGAATTTTAATTTATATACGTATGCAAGGTAGAGGGTGTTACACCACATGCATGTAGAGTTAGGAGCATGCATTGCATGCATCTTATTTTATGATTAAGATACTTTAAATGAAATGAATTGTTATTGATGTTGAATGAATATGGAGTTACAAATGTACTAAGTTGAGCATGACTTTGAAAGTTGGAAGTGAAAATAATTGTATGTATGAAAACATGATTAAGATGTATGTCTTTAGTATTACTCCTATGCCCTAGTATGACTTTGAAACTATTTGCGTATTTGATTATCTTTGCATTAGAGAGTTTTGATTAGATTGTGAAGTCTTTTACTAAAGCATTATGTTGAAGTGTTTTATAATGTTTAAATTTAATTGTATCCTTTAAAAACAAAAAAAATATTTATTTATTATGTTTTAAAGTAGAAAAGTGTCACACCAATTAATTTAATATTTTATCATTGTTGTTGTTGTTGTTTATTATTTTGGGTTATCAAATTTTGGCTTTTACAGTAAAAGATAAAGAATGGATAAGTCACTCATTCAATTTTTTTTTGTTTGAAATTAGTCCATTCATTTAGTAATAAATGACATAAATGAAATTCAAGTTTTTTGTTTGTCTCATTATGAGTACTCATTTATGAAAGTTGAGGCGTATCAATTACATATTAGGATTTTTTGTGGTGTTAGATGTAATACTTGGGATATTTTTTTGAGTTTGTAATGTTGAAGATGATATATGATAGATTTTTAGATTGTGAGGTTAGGTAGATTTAAATTTTAAATTAATGATATTTAATACTTTTTAAGTTTTTAATTTTTTAAGTAGTATTTTATAATATTGATAAACAAGTTTATAATATTGAATGTTTTATCAGTTGATGACGTGATAATATATTGTTAAATAAAAAAATCTTGTGTTAAAACAATTGACGATTCCTTAAACTTTAATGATGATAAACAAAAGTTTTTCCTTAAGTAAAGTCAACATTTTTCAGAGATATATCATATTAAACGAAATGTAGAATATATATATATATA